TTAAAACAAGCATGCTTATTGCTGGCAAATGTAAACAGTTTGCAGAGCATACTTGAGCGTGCCTATTTAGGAGCATGGTTAAAACAAGCATGCTTATTGCTGGCAAATGTAAACAGTTTGCAGAGCATACTAATTTTAAGCAAGCTTATAAGCATGCTTTTTTGAGCGCGCCTGTCAGTACCTTTACCCGAGTCTGCGCGCCTAACTTTCGTAGAATGAGAATATTGCTCATGAATGCGTTTAGCATGGCTTGAAACTAGTCGAGTTCCTCGTCAAATAATTACGTGAGTAACCCGAAAACGTAATAATTAATTTATTACCGACTTCAAAAAAAGGAGCTGTAATAAGATCGGCAGATTGTTTTTTTTTTTTTTGTTTGCAGTTGGGGTATGCCACTGTCAGGAAGGCAGCCATTACTTCTTGGGTAGATGCTGGAAATCAATGGGTATGGGTGAACAATGTACGCGAAATGAAGAATGTATGGGAAAATTAAGAGATCCCTATAATTTGGCTTGTATTGACGGTGTTTGTACATGCGCTAGCGGCTTCTATGAAAGGCAAAGAGGAGAGTGCAGGGCGGGTAGCTTCAGTAAGTGATATTTTATTTTATTTTATTTATTTTCAGCCATGATCGTCCCACTGCAGGGCAAAGGCCTCCCTACCCTCCTTACACTATTAAGTGATATATATTTTTTTTTTATATTAATTCTCCATGACTGCTTCGTTGGCCGAGTGGTCGCAAGTGCGACTGCCGGACAAGGGGTCTCGGGTTCGATTCCCGGCTCGGGCAAAATATTACTGGGTTTTAAAAAAATTCTCAGTAGTAGCACGGAGTCTGGAATTGTGCCCGGTATATGGCAATAGGCTCACCACCTATTACATGGGACTTATAAAATAGTGAAAAGTGGGTGTTACTTCTGTGTGCACCTCTGCCTACCCCTTCGGGGATAAAAGGCGTGATGTTATGATGATGATGATAATTCTCCATTGTACAATATAGTGAAGGAATAACGGCATCTATCTTGGAAGCAAAGCACACTTGCGTATTTTTCATTTTATCGAAACCCCTTATAACACTAGAAAAAATGCTTTGAATAAATATTAATATAATGCCCGGTATATGGCAAGCTTACTCCCTATTACATGGGACTCATAACACAATAAGTGAAAAGTGGGTGTTACATTGTACAGTGGTATTAAGTACCATAATGTGCAGCTCTGCCTACCCCTTTGGGGATAAAAGGCGTGATGTTATGTTATGTTTCTTTTTTATGGCATAAGCCGGTAAACGAGCAGACGGATCACCTGATGGTAAGAAATCGGCGCCGCCTATAGACACCTGAATCACCAAGGCGTTAAAAGTGCGTTACCGGCATTTTGGGAATTGGGCCTCCGATTGTTTCACGTCGTTTTGATGCTCAGCCATGGTATCTGGTTGACTCTGGTCGAGCTGGCCCATTCGTGCCGAAGCATGGCTCTCCTACACTTCATCATCATCATCAACAGCCTATAAATGCCCACTGCTGAGCAAAGCCTCTTCTCACACGGAGAAGGTTTGAGCATTATTCACCACGCTTGCTCAATGCGGGTTGGCGATTTCAAACCTATAATTAGAAATTATAAGCCAGGTTTCCTCACGATATTTTCCTTCACCGTTTGTCAGTGGTGTCTCAATGTCTTAGAAAGTACATATAACTCGGAAAAAGGCACATTGGTACTTGCCGTTGGTATGTTTCGAACCCGCGCGCTCTGGCATGAGAAGCGGGCGTCTTAAACCTCCGGGCCCACACGACACTTATATCGATTATTTCTTTCAGATATTGGTGACGACTGTATTTTACATGAAGACTGTAGATTTGAAAATGGTTATTGCGATGCTGCATTGAAGTGTGCGGACTCGACTGCTTCAACTCCAGCACTTAACAACGATGATGGACGTAAGTATAAGGCGACCAACTTTCTGTAAGTCCAATGCGGGACTTTTTGTGTTGTTGACTGTTGCCCTATACGGAGCCGCGGAAGGCCTAAGCAGGAGTAGGAACGGGGTGGTTTTTAGTCAGTAAGAGTCTGTTACTGCCTCTGGCCTAATCCAAGGCGGAAGAAGTCATTGGATGATATTCCTCCTACACAAAAAATGTTGTTCTGTGCTGAACTTTTTCTCCTTCTAGCCCTTTAGGACATCATTGTTCACGTTCACACACATAACTTATTTCGTCAAACAAGTTATCTTCATTTATTCGCGCTGTTGTTAGTGCGCGTGTGGTTGTGTCGTGTTGTAGACAAATAGGTATGCGGGACTTGCGGGACGCATCTAAAGTTTTACGGGACTATTTTATTAATTATTTCAAAGCGGGATTACATCTAGCATTACAGGACGGTCCCGCAGAATACGGGACGGTTGGCCGCCTTACGTAAGTACTACCTACTAAATTAAAATATACTAGCTTTCGAGTCGCTTAGGATTTATTCAAATTCAAATTCAAATTCATTTAATCGTTTGCAAACATGGGTACATAATATAGGTATTAACAAAATATACAGTTTCTCCATATTTTGCCTTCACTTGGCATGCAAAGATATGTTATAAAAGAATTATATAATAAAATTAGGTACATTCAGTTTAATTTTTTTTATATTTATATTATTTTAAATTTCAATTATTGTCACGCAAACTAAACGTGTATACAAAATTTCAGCTCAATCTGTTGACGATATCTGCTTCATAATTCAGTTGCACGATTCGCACTTCGCACACACACACACACACACACAAACATACATTGCTGCAATTAAACTGTCAAACACCAAGCGGTCACCAGTAACCGCAACCTATTGTTCTATAATTGTGTCTACAAAACCGGTACTCGACGAGTTAAATAAGAACCTGTAATTGTAATTAACCAGAGTGGCAATAGACAGAGTGCAATGGAAGCAGCTGGAGGAGGCCTATGTCAAAAGACACACCGAACTGTGGGACATTTTATAAATACAAACCAAACACTAAAAGTTGGGAATAAAAGAGCTATATTATTATATAAATCATTATGTTTTCGGCTTACTCACGTTGTAATTCGACGAGGAACTCGACTAGTTTCAAGCCATGCTAGAGGCTCATATTCATGAGCAGCATTTCGCGACCCGCGACGCGGCGACTGTTGCGCTGCTACTGGCTACTCGAGTCTGCGGGCCCAGCGCGCCCTCTGCCGTGATTCACGCGCACTTTCTTCCATTCGTGATATCGGCGACGCCGGAGCGTGCCACTGTTGGCACGCTAGACTCGCCCGCCGGCAGCTACGTTGGTGTTGTTGAGTTCGAATCCCGGGTCGAAAACATAATAATTTATTTATTATGTCTCACGAAAGTTACAATACAAATATATTATTATAATTATAATGAATAGGTTACTTAGATAAACTTATTATAAAGCTTTGGTTGGACGCGTTAATCTCCGGATTGACTGGTCGGTTTATTGCGCTCGACTTCTTCCGCGAAGAATGATGACTTCTGGCAGATTTTAGGCTTTTGGATTAGTCTTTATCAAAGGATATTCTACGATAACCAGTGTCGTCAGATTTGATTCAGTTACTAGTATTTTTTAAGGGGGGGAAATCATCGAATGACTGCTCCCGCCTAGGTGAGGAGGGAGGGAGTGTCAGACTCTTACTGACTAAAAACCACCCCGTTCCTTCTCCTGCACGTCGAGTCGGAGCCCCAGTTACCCGTTAGGTTCTCCGCGACTCAGTTACTAGTATAGGGCTCCTCCCCCTTAGATAATAGCGTGATTATATGTAGCCTATATGTTGACCCGACGTGTTAGTAATATTCATGCAAAATTTTAAGTAAATCCATGCAGTACTTTTTGAGATCATCCCGGACATACATACAGACAAACTGACAGAAATTCCAAAAACCATAATATTTTTGGTTTCAGTATCGATGGTAGAACACGCTTCAAGTATTCTTTTTAAAAATTATACAATGTACAGAAAACTGTAACTGTAAAAAGTCAAAAGATTTTTCTACGATTTTATTATATATGTAAAAGATAAGATAGATAAAGATATATATTTATTTATTTAAGGCCAGGCAACGACTGTTTACACATAATTTAACAATCGGTTTACAATATACATTTGTCAGTGTAACAATCAATTAAAAATGTAACTTCGTTGTGCATTTTCTATCGCTAATACCACGGGGAGTGCTCTGAGGAAATGTTTGACCTGATACCTGCCGCATCTTTTCGCCATCGACCCTCATGACAGCATATGCATCACCATCATATAGATGGTTGGCAGGCCACAACTGTGCGCTTCTCACGTAGTTTTCTGCCTCGCACAGCAAAACTGTGAAATGATCTGTCGTCGGCGGTATTTCCGAACCGATACGACCTTCAAGAAAAGAGCGTATTCCTTTTTAAAAGGCCGGCAACGCACCTGTGATTCCTTGGTTTTCCAGTTGTCCATGGGAGACGCCGATTGCTTACCATCAGGTGCTCCGTCTGATCATTTACCGGCTTAATCCATAAAAAAATTGTTAAAAATAACTATCAATCGTCATGTCCTTCATCCTTCTAAATAAAATCCATAAAAAAATTGTTAAAAATAACTGTCAATCGTCATGTCCTTCATCAAGTGAAACAAGTGAAACAAGTGAATTTATTTCTGCAAATAGGCTACAAGGCAGCACTTTTACACGTCAATTCATCCTTCTAAGTAATTCAAATTATCGATTCACTCATTGAATTAATCATCACGTGTCATAAAATTGCGAAATCTATTTCGATATCTGTTTATTATCTACTAATTATAAAGGTATTAAGATACTGCAATCGTCTGATTTTACATATTACACACGATTTAATATTTTTTTCCTTTATACATTCATTGGGTTATGTTTCTGAACATGGGGTGCGTGATTTTTAAATTCTGTTTTCTGTTAGGTTATCACCTAAGCATTATCATATGACTAACCTATATGTTGACCCGATCTGTCAGTAATTTTCATATAAAACTTATAGCAAATCCATGAAATGAATCTATTTTGAGTTTGGTCCGAATAATTTTTTTTTATGACATAAGCCGATAAACGAGCAGACGGATCACCTGATGGTAAACAATCGGCGTCTCCCATGGACACCTGGAACATCAGAGGCGTTACAAGTGCGTCATCTGCCTTTTGGGGATTAGGAGTTTGAAGATCGTTAGGGATTCAGGGATTGGGGAGATTGGGGAAGGGCCTCCGGTAACCTCGCTCACACGACGGAACATAACGCAAGCGTTGCTTCACGTCGGTTTTCTGTGAGGCCGTGGTATCACTCCGGTCGAGCCCATTCGTGCCGAAACATGGCTCTCCCACACTTAGTAAAAAACTCCCCTTAGTATCCCAGAAATGCGGGCCAAGTTTTGGACAGAAGGTAGTAAATATATATTTTGTTCTTTTCCAGTTCTGATGAAGGGAGCGGCATCTAAACCAGAAATAACTGAAGGCAACAACTTCACCAGTTTAAGTATGACCTCAGTATCAAGGAACCATGGTAGAGCCTGTAGCACATCGCAAGATTGTCCTAATGTGTTTGAGTGTACCGCTTATGGGTACTGTGCCTGTCCAAGAGGGTACTATGCTAATGCCGCCGGCACATCGTGTTTAGCTGGTACACATTATTTTATTTAATCTCTTTGACATCACATCATTACACATATTCTAGACCAGTACGTTCTATCTTATCTTATCCTAACTTATCACATCAACAGCCTATAAATGCCCACTGCTGACCAAAGGCCTCTTCTCACACAAGGTTTGAGCATTAATCACCACGCTTGCTCAATGCGGGTTGGCGATTTCAAACTTATTATGGACCCTGTTAAGCAGAAAAGATCCAGCCCACATCTTATTACCACATCCTATTATTATGAGTAAATGAAGTTTAATGTTGGGCAGATAATAAAAAAATCATATGACACAGTACCTATTGAATAGATACTGTATCATATGACCACTTTATATAAAGGAATAAAATGTGGGCTGGATCATTTCTGCGTAAAAGGGACTAATTATGAATTATAAGCCCAGGTTTTCTCACGATGTTTTCCTTCACCGTTTATCAGAAGTGTCTTTAGCCTTAGAAAATACATATAATTCGGAAAAAGTCACATTGGTATTTGCCGTTGGTAGGTTTCGGACCCTCATGCATTAGAGGCGGGCGTCTTAAAGGTCCGGGCCACCAATACATTTTTTGACATTAGTATCTAATTCAAAACAACGGCCTTTCTAACTCCTCTAATGTAGGAAGCGGCCATCTTATAATCATCAGGTGATCCTTTTCCACACTACTACTCTAAATAGATTTAGACAAAAGGCAAATATAACAGCTTACTCTTAGGATCACGTAGTTTTTAGTCAATTTTCCGTGGTGCTTGGAGACTGGGCTTCATCCAGTTGTACAGCCTCTTTTTCGTACCTATAGGCTTAATTCATTCTGTCTCCTGCAGTAATTCACCGAGGGAAGCGGAAACTATTGTTTTTTTCTTCTTCTCTTCTGATTCACTTCGTTGCGGGAACCTAGACAGTTATTCATAGGACGCGCCGGACTTCAGTGTTCCGGTGTTTTCATGGTTGTATCTACTGTAGATCCTGGCTTACAGGAGTTGCAGCGGTTTTGGGAGGTTGTGGCGAGCTTGTCCCTTAAAAAAACGTTTAACTAAATAGATTTTTATTTTTCATCATTCCTATTTTAATTGTTTTTATTTTTTTCAGAACTTGGATCTCCATCAACAAATAACCAATGTTCAGGGTTTATAGCTGCAGTTCAAGACGGGATTTGTCGGTGTCCTAAGAACTTCTATTATAATGAAAATATGAGGGATTGTGTCAAAGGTAAGTTACATCATATTATTAAATTTTTTTTATTTCTCAATTTAAAAAAAAAAATATATTTTTTATTTTAAAAGGCTTAATGTACAAGATGGGCTTAATGCCTAGGGCATTCTCCACCAGCCAGACCTTTGGGTGATGCAGATACAAAAAACAAAGTTCGATGCAAGAAGCAAGCGTATTCAACATTGAGAGAAATACCTAAAATAAGAATAGGATTATCCTTAATCCTTAATAATATTATAAATTGGAAAGTGAGTTTGTTTGTTTGTTCCACTTTCACGCCGTAACTACTAAACCGATTGCTTTGAATTTTTGCAAACGTAAAGTTAGAAGTCCGGATTAAATAATAGGGTACTTTTTATCCCAGAAAAATTAATATTCCCGAGGGAAAACAAAAGTATTGGTATAGATGGCGCTGCGGTGTCTATTGGTATATGTCACTTAAGCTACTTTTTATCCTTTTGTGACGCGAGCGAAGCCGCGGGTAAAAGCTTAGTTTAGTAGTTAGGGCGTGAAAGCGAAACAAACAAACAAACTCACTTTCCGATTTATAATTTTAGTAAGGATAAATCAATCAATCAATTTCAATATTTTTTTTTAATGAAGAATTTGGTTTCATCAACCTAAAACTGATGCCTAATCGTGCAGGTTAGGGGTTAGTTTAGATGCGACCCTTCACGCAAGTTACCCTTAGTTAAGAGATAACATAACATCATGCCTATTATCCCCGAAGGGGTAAGCAGAGTTGCACATTATGCCAATGTACAATGCAACACCCACTTTTCACTATTTATGTTACGAGTCCCATGTACTAGGGGGTGAGCCTATTGCCATACCGGACACAATTCCAGACACCATGCTGCTACTGAGAATTTTTTAAATCCCATTAGTAATACTTTGCCTGGCCCGCGTATCGAACCCGAGACCCCTTGCCCGGCAGTCGCACTTGCGACCACTCAGCCAACGACCAGTAAGTCGTGATTAGTGAAAAAAACCATTATTCCATTATTAACCATAATTCTACATTAGTATTACCAGGGTACCAGCTTACTCTTAAACCAATCTCAATGTCAATGCAATTTCAATCCAATAAAATCTTAATAATTATTCAACCCCTGTTATAGCTGTTGAAATAGCATTCAGAGTACGTAATATAAAGTCAATACCATTTAGTTCATTCAATATCCACGCAATACGGATGCAATGGGCGCTAGTGTTGCAACTCAAGAGTACGAAAGTTCACAATACCAATGTCGATCGATCGGGATTGGATTCAAGAGTAAGCCCCTTGGTCAACCAAAAAATGGTAGCCCTATAATGTGATTAATATGTTAACTGTAATTTTTATCTTTGTTCCAGCAACACGTCGTTTCACCGACGCTTGTGTTAATGACGAAATGTGTCATACATTCGGTGCTTCAGCGCGCTGCGGGGAACCTGGACAGTTTGAGCTGAGGTCTTGCGAATGCATCCCTGAAGAGGCTGTCTGGGATGCTAACAGACAAATCTGTAGATTGTTTGCTGGTGAGTCATCATCATGTCAAAGTCAAAGTCGAAATAATTTATTTCAATTAGACCAAGAAGGTACTTTTGAACGTCAAAACAAAATATTTAAATATTAAAGGAAAAATGTTAGCCTGTCGGTCAGTCCTCGTGATGCTATTTGCTCGTTCCAAAGTGCAGATTCTCTTAGAAAGTCCATAGGTTACTCTTTTTCAATCAGGTTCACAATACAATTCTCCAGTTACATAGTTGTATTGGTTCGATTGTGTGAGGATAATGTAACACCAATATTCAGTCAAGGAGAAGGAAAAGAAAATATCCTTGAGGACAACAAATTTAATACAGTATCGAGCTGACCAGTCCCAGTTGACGGCGCTCGTTCACTATCATGACACGTATACCAGCGCCGCCCAACTCAACCATATTGTAGGGAATCGAGCGATCCACTGCCCGTGCCACTGCCAATGAGACTTTTGAGTGAGCACGACATGTCTTCTGCATTAAACTACTCGAGGGAAGTGCTACGTGTTAGCTACAGGAATTGCTGTGCCTAGCTGGTTTCGCAACGTTGTGGTGTCCTTGTAACTCCTGACCGTCCTCTGCTGAAGTATGAGCCTCCTCTACAAAAGAGAGATGTACCACAATCTCTTCATTTGGTACGAGAGTTGAAGGCTCAGTTTAAAAAATGTCATTCAAACTTAACGTGTAGGTACCTATAAAAAATCAGCCCAATTGCATGAAGATATCTGCTTCTAAATTTAGTTGCAAGGTTCCACTTCAAAATTTAGTTGCAAGGTTCCACTTCAAAATTTAGTTGCAAGGTTCCACTTTACACACACGTACGTTGCAACTGAAAAACAAACTTTCTTATTGTTCAGGTATTGGTGAATATTGCGAGGAAAACAGTGATTGCTTAGCTGGTAACATGGAGATCCTCTGTGTACGGGAAAATGGTGATGAAAGCGGAGAGAGTGCAGAGGGCGGTGATGTCGCTGTTGGTGGTGTATGTTCCTGTCCTGACGGATTCTCTAACATTGGTGGACTGTGCCTTACTACTGGATTGTGTAAGTATAATTCCATGTGTTTTTAAAGGGGGAATAATCATCGAATATCTCCTCTTTGGTGGGTGGTTTTTCCCACTCCATTCCAACTACTGATTCAAGCCGGAATCCTGGTATTTTTCCGCAGGTTACGTCGGAATAATGCATTTATTTTGTATTTATGTGCCTCATCATTATATATTAGACTAGCAGCCCGTCCCGGCTTCGCACGGGGTAGACAATTATTTATTTTTGGAAATTTGGATTATTGTAGAGACATAACTAGAATAGTTGGACATATGCTACCGCGGAGTTTTATGTAGACATTATGATGTTCTTCAATATTGTTGTACATTATTTTGTTCTATCGCTAATAGTTTCGGCAGCGCATTCGACGATTTACATTGTTCAAATTTTACCAAGGATCCCTAATTTTTTTCCAAATGAAATCTAGCCTATGTCAAATTGGAAGAATGTAGCATTCTATTGGTGAAAGAATTTTTTAAATCGGCCCAGTACTTTTTGAGCCTATTCATTACAAACATACAAAAATAGGTACAAATCTTTCCTCTTTATAATATTAGTATAGATATAGATATAGATATAGAAGTATAGATTATCTTCTCACAAGTCTGAATAATAGGCGCCATGTTTGCTCAATATGGGATGGTAATTTCAAATTTTACGCCCAGATTTGCTCACGAAGATTCTTCATCTTGAAGAACTTCATTTAGTTAGTTGCATGGTTCCACTTCACAAATATAAGTACATAAATTGCCAGGTATAAGTGTAAGTTGCAAGTTGATATTCATATATAGCAAGTTAAATAAAAAATTGAAGTAATTGTAATTAATTCTTATTTCTTTCAGCTCTTGGCGATGCATGTCAAGCGTCTATCGAGTGTATAGATACTGTACATGCGGATTGTATAGAAGGTTTCTGCTCATGTCGTGAAGGGTACCAGGCTGTAGATGGAACTTGTGCCCCACGTAAGTCAAAAAGTCAAGATTTAGATAATTAATAGTAATTAATCAAAAGTCTATATTCAAAAAG